CACTGGTGATTTATTGGAGTTGCCAAACCACATAATCGCCACGGTTTTTCCATGGTCCATCTCCGCCGAGAAAGAAAACACCAGGAGGCCTTTTACTAAGCACACAATTTTTACAGTCCACAACATAAGGAGCACCGATATTTAAAGTTCTGCACACACGGATATTTTGTTAAACTGCAATTTCAAAGCGGAGCATCTGTAGCGACTGAGATAGATTCCCAGATATCACGAGCAATTTGCTGATACCACACACACCACAGCTTAATTTACATCCGTTAACTCAGGATAATAAAAGGTACGTGGCTGGCATTTCGTGCACATAAAATATTTACATATATATCAGTGGATTTGCGTTAAAATATAAAAAGTCGCTCACATATAATCGTTGCTCCAAGAGTTAACCGCGAGTGGTTTTGTGTCAGTGATTTTTGTAAACAAAAAAAAATGCATTGTTTAAATCACAATACGTGACAATATCGGCAAAAATTAGTACACGCGACGGCCATTTTAAGAAAAAACTCACTTCACGTTGTTGGTGTTAAAATTTGATAAAAGTTGAACCGCAGCACATATTAAAATTTTATTGGTTCGAAATTCGCACAGTTTCAATTTAATAACTTATTGCACATACTTTCATATCTTCCTCAATATTGGTGCTGCAAGTAGGTTCAATTTGCTTAGTCACAAACACTAACAACACTGCACGGGGTGGTCTTAACCTCACTTTGGCTTGCAATTTTGTGCTAATACACACTAAATTCACTCGTACGACCGATATTTCACATCCACAAAACCACTTTTCGCGTGTGACACAGAATTTTCCGATAGATTCAATTATTAGCACTGTTTATAATTGCTTCGATTTAAATATTAATTATATCTTGCTGTGTTGGGTGGCGAGCAAATTACATATATTACCTGTAAGCGTAAGAGATTAATATTCGTACACATACATACACATATACAGGGCAAGTTTATATATCTGAGATAATAAATAAAACGTGTGGTACGGAATTAAAATTCCACTTAAATTCTGTGTAAAGCTTTATTGGATTGTGGTGTGGCTAGGCTTTTGCATAGTATTCGCTAAACAGCTTTCAGAATCATTTTCCTCAAAGCGTTCTTCTAATTATATCAAGCTATGGATAAGTTTATTCGTCTGGCAGACGCTGTGACAGAATTTGAGGCCGACTACAACGACACGGCCCAAACTGATCACACCAAATACACTCTTGCCATTCAACAAGAGGAGTTGAAAACGTTATGGAAGAAAGCGAAGGCAGCATATGAGGAATTAGTAAACTCTGATACGTTAGATGCTAAAGCAGTATCTGCTGTGAAACCAAAATATAAAAGCTCGTACGCTGTATATTTGCGATGCATGTCGAACATGGCAGATCTGCATGCAAAGCTCGTTAAGAGCGAAAAAGACATAGAAGGTACGTCTGTCCAAGAACACAACATTCACCTTCCTCCGTGCGATACGGAAGTGTTCAAAGGCGACTACCTCTCTTGGCCAACATTCCGAGATATGTTTACGGCCATATATATATTAAATAAGCGCCTCACTCCAGTTGAAAAGTTGTTCCATCTGAACCAAAAAACACTGGGTGAGGCCAAAGATATAGTGAGGAAGTGTCCTCTCACTAACGAAGGATTTGCCACAGCGTGGAAAAACCTAACAGATAGGTACGAGAATAAACGTATTCTCGTAAATTCCCAGTTGCAAATTCTTTTTAATTTAAAGGCAATAGAGAACGAGTGCGGCGTCTCGATTAAGAAATTACAGCGAGATATAAATAATTGCATCTCATCACTAAAAAGCCATAAAATTGATATATCGAACTGGGATGCAATATTTACTTATCTCTGCTCAACGAAATTGCCAGAAAGTACCTTGGCATTGTGGGAACAAACAATCGAAGACAAGACGGAGATATCGAAGTGGGAGGATATGGACAAATTTCTGTCCAACAGATTCCAAACACTGGAAACCGTCTCGGGTATAACGGGTACTAAACTTACAAAAATTCCCAAGCCCCATAATAGTAGGCATACTAGTGAAACTCCGCAAAAAAGACTTGGTGCCTTCCAAGCAAGTGTAGCTAAAACGACATGCAAATTCTGTAAAAGCAAGGACCACAAGTTATCAAAGTGCGAAAGATTCATCAATTTAACGACGGCCGATAGAATCGCCTTCATTAAGTCGAACCATGGTTGCTTGAACTGCTTAACCAATGGACATACTGTGTCCAGGTGTACATGCTCATTTAATTGCAGCACTTGTCACCAACGACATCACACGCTCCTTCATATTCAAGCAGTTCAGCCAAAAGCAACAAACATATGCACCAAAGGCAACAAACATATGCATCAAAAGACTCAGATAACATAGCGTCCACTTCGGCACAGGCTCAAGAATGCGCGACGCTGCAAGTGCAAAAAAGAACTCAGTGAACAATGTCACGTCTTGTTTCGCTAATACTAACAAAGGCGTATTGCTGGGAACAGCAAGAGTTCATATTTTTTATAACAATACAAATTTCTCAGCTCGAGCATTAATAGATTCAGGTTCTGAGTGCTCTTTCATAACGGAAAGACTCAAACGCAGAATCAACTTGCCTTCTAAGAGAATGCATGCACAGGTATCTGGTATCAATAACACCATTTCAGCGCAGGTAAAGGAAGCATGCCTCATTCAATTGAGATCTCCAATTGATCCTCTAATAAACATCAACACAACCGTGCTGGTGTTGCCTCAATTAACCGGAAATCTTCCGACATGCCAAATTAATGCGATGACTAGCCAAGCTTTCCCGGATCTGGAATTAGCAGACAAGAGATTTTTTATTAATGAACAAGTTGATCTAGTCTTAGGCGGCGACATTTATGCCCAAATAATGTTGAGCGGAATCCGAAAAAACGTTTTAGGTACGCTTCTGGCGCAGGAGACTGTATTCGGCTGGATACTAACCGGTCAAACTGACACGGTTACGCCAGCCAACAAATGTGTATCATTTTTTAACGAGGTCAGCCTCGATAAGCGTCTCGCGTCTTTCTGGGAAGTGGAAGACATTCCGAAAAACCAATCCTACAATAACGATGAAGTTTATTGTGAAGAACTTTATAAAAGCACAACAAAGCGAAACGGTGAAGGCAAATACATAGTGTCACTGCCATTTAAGCAGGACTTCCCAAAAGACGTCAAATTAGGACCTCTCTAAAAATCGCTTGCTCACAGTTCTTTAGGACAGAAAAGCGGTTGGCGAGAGACCCACCTCTGCAAACAGAATATAACCGAGTTTTGTCAGAATACGAGGCATTAGGTCATATGACGCGAATCGACGTGAATGTTCCTGCAGATGCATGTGACAATTACTTCTTGCCTCATCACGCTGTCAGGAAGGACGAAAGCACTACCACCAAAGTAAGGGTAGTTTTTAATGCATCGTGTCCGACATCAAATGGGGTGAGCCTTAATGAGGTGCTCTATCCTGGTCCAGTACTTCAAAATGATTTGCCAACATTAATACTTCGGTGGAGATTATTTAAGTATGTTTTTAACAGCGACATCGAAAAGATGTATCGCCAAATCTTACTAAACCCTGACCAAACAAAGTATCAGCGCATAATTTTTCGTACTAATCCATCCGAACCCATAAGACTTTATGAACTCAATACTATGACCTTCGGTGTCAATTCCGCACCTTACCTGGCGATTAGAACTCTGCTTCGGTTAGCGAACGACGTGGAAGATTCGCACCCCATTGCATCGGACATCTTAAGAAAATACATGTACGTTGATGATGTTTTAGCGGGCGGTCATACTATCGAATCTGCTATTAAAGCTAAGGACGAAATCACAACAGTATTGCAATCTGCGGGTTTTCCTTTGAGAAAATGGACTTCTAACTGCGACGAAATATTATATGGTATCCCAAAATCCTATCTGCTGAAAGAAGATTTCTTGGACTTCGAAGACACCAGCACGGTTAAGGCTCTGGGCATCAGGTGGAACGCCCATTCTGATAAATTTTACTTCACTGCCAAGCCAATTGAGAATCAGGATAGACATACAAAAAGGGCAATACTATCGGCTATTGCCAAATTATTCGATCCGTTAGGGTGGCTCGCACCGTTTGTAATTACCGCGAAAATTTTAATGCAAAATATTTGGTTAGAAGGAACCGGGTGGGACGAAATTGTATCAACCGCCACATTAGACCGTTGGGAAAGCTTTAAGGAAAGCTACAGCCACATCGAAAGGATTCGTATCCCTCGTTGGATATACTTTTCACCGACAGCCAAAGTTGAGATACACGGGTTTTGCGACGCCTCAGAAAAGGCATATGCGGCTTCGCTCTATCTTCGCGTCGAAAAGGATGACAGGGTCTTCACCAATCTGCTACTATCTAAAACTAAAGTTGCACCAGTTAAAACGATCTCGCTTCCCCGCTTAGAACTTTGTGGGGCGGTTTTACTTTCAGAAATCCTCGATTCGATTATCAATAACCTGAATTTGGGGCATGTTACGACAAAAATGTGGACGGATTCTACCATTGTCCTGGCCTGGATTCGGAAACCACCCTGCTCATGGTCAACCTTTGTTGCCCATCGAGTAACCAAAATAATAGAAAAGGTAGGGAAAGAAAATTGGTGTCATGTAGATTCAACCTCAAATCCGTCAGACTTAGCCAGTAGAGGACTTCCGGCGCAAGAATTAGTAAACAATTCGCTGTGGTGGGAGGGCCCTTCTTGGCTGCAAGAAGATCACTCCAAATGGCCCACTCAAGAAAAGGACTATAATACAGTGATAGAAGAGAAAAGGGTGCAGGTACACGCAACAACAACGTTAGATATCCACGATGATATTATTGAAAGATTTTCTGATTTCTCGAGAGCTTTGAGAGTTTTATCTTATGTAATGAGATTCTCTCAAAGAACTCACCCAAAAACCAGAGCGTCATTTCAGGCGAAATCTTGTTCAATTTCAGCTGATGAAATTAAAGCAATGATAAACCGCTTGATAACCATCTGCCAGAAGAAGCATTATTGGGAGGAGTATTCAGCATTAAAATCTCAGAAATTAATAGGTACAAAAAGTGAAGTACTACCCCTTAACCCTTTCATCGATAAAGACGGTATAATGAGGACAGGTGGCCGCCTAGGAGCATCTAGTGATCTCGCCTATAACGAGCGTCACCCAGTTATCCTGCCATATAACTGCCACCTGTCTCGTCTGATAGTCCAGTTCGTCCACAAGGTCTCGCTGCATGGCGAAAATCAGCTCATGCTGCGCCTAATCCGAACACAGTACTGGATACCGAGGGTCAAGAACATGATTAGGTCCACAATTCATAATTGCAAGGTCTGTACGATCTATCGAAAGCGTGCGCAAACACAGCTAATGGGAATTCTTCCCAGAGAAAGAACTACATTTTCACGACCGTTTACAAATTCTGGAGTCGACTTTGCGGGACCTTTTGACATAAAGAGTTATAGTGGACGAGGCTGTCGTATGTCCAAAGGATATGTCTGCCTGTTTGTGTGTTTCGCAACTAAGGCAATCCATTTGGAAGCTACCTCTGATCTAAGTACGCAATCTTTCTTAGCAGCATTTGCCAGGTTCGTTTCAAGAAGGGGATGTCCAAGAAACATCTACTCCGACAATGGTACCAACTTTGTCGGAGCCTCTAGAGCTCTGAGAGCGGAATTAAAAGCCTTTTTGATGGATGCACGCAATAGCACCTTAGCCAAATATACCCACCAAATGCTTTCGTGGCACTTCATTCCCGCCTCAGCTCCTCACATGGGCGGGCTATGGGAAGCGGGGGTTAAAAGTTTTAAAAACCACTTTACGAAAATCGCATCAAACCATAAATATACGTTTGAAGAGTTTACGACTCTTCTATGCCGAATTGAATCCTGTCTGAATTCTCGACCATTAAGCCCCACATCAAACCAGCCATCAGACTTGGAGCCACTTACTCCAGGCCACTTTTTGGTTGGTGGACACCTATTAGCTCCACCAGAAATTGATGCTAACGAAAATACGGCTACGATTGTAAATCGTTGGCAAAGATTAAAAGCTTTACATCACACGTTTTGTAGCCGATGGAAATCAGAATACCTATCTGAACTCCAGAAGCGCAACAAATGGAGGCATCCTCAAGCCAACATCAAAATAGGAGACCTCGTCATTATTAAGGAAGACAACTTACCACCAAATGAATGGAGACTCGGAAGAGTCTTAAAATTATACCCAGGTTCGGATACTCGGGTACGAGTGGTGGACATCATGACCGAACGTGGCCAGGTAACAAGGCCACTAGTAAAATTGGTCTTACTACCACCCTGCAGTGAAGCAAACGAAGAACCAACCGAGTCTTCGTAAATACATTCTCTGTATTTGCGACTTCAACGTGAAAGCAACCAGGTATTCCACTTCATAGGTACCTAGAATATTCCACGACTGAAGCCGCAAATGTTAAATTTCATCAATCAACTTCACTTGCATTAGAAATAGAACTCTTACATGTTTTAAGCGGAAGCATACCTAACACTCATTTTGCATAGAAGATTGTCTTAACAATCTCCGAATATATGCATGCTTGACGACCATACAATAAGATTCCGTCGCAGAATAACTGAGATACACAGAACCAGAGCAAGGCATTATTTGAACAAATTTTAGCCGTAAATAATTCGCAAGTAATCCATTAACGAATGAATTATTCATCAATAAATTCCTTCTGAATAAATTAGTCGTGATTTGTTTTCAATTTGAAATGTTTTAAAACAAATGTTTTTCTATAATCTCTGATAGGGAGTGAGTGAATTCGTTTTTACTTTATCACGAATATTTCCTTTATTTTCATTATTCAAACAACGAATAAAATAATTTATCCTCCATTTGAGTAATTTTCCGTTGAACAAACGGAATTACTTGTTAGTTACGCATAATGATAAATGGTGCCCAGCTATGCATATAACATGCATACGTATGTAGCTTGGACGGTTAGCAACCCAACCGATGACAGCGAGGCCATTTATAGCAACAGAGATATAAAGAACAAACTTAATAAAATTTCATCGTTTTTTTTTCTCAGTTTAATAAGAGCCATCTCAGCATGAACGGTTACCGACTCAGTAATAGCGTGTATAATGAGGCGACGGTTCTCAGCCCGAGGTCACACGGGGCGATTCGGTAATATAGAACCGACCATCGTGAGATCTGTGCAAATAATTACCAAAAAGGGGCCTTCTGCCCAACAAAGAAAGAACCTAAACATGCCGGCCCCCTTGCTCTTATTTGAAGAGTAATACAAATATATTACAACAATAACTCCAATTACAAGCGGGCTGTGTAAAGAACACCAGCCAATTTTGGCGTTAAACGCATTATACGTCTATAATTGCTTCCTAATCGATGTGAGAAACAAAAGCCCGATTTCAAAACCAATCGAGTCTGGCGAGCCCAAGAATATATTTGGGAGGGGTTTATACTTCTGAAATTTCGCTTCAGATAAAATGATCATTAAAGTACATTTATGCGAGTTTTATATACAATATGTAATAAATAAATAAACTTTTTGAAGTTTCATAAAGTGCATTTATTTACATAAAATAGGAAAAAAAACTCAAACATTTGTAACCGACTTCGCAAAAGGGGTAGGTTATCAATTTGTCGGAATAGTATACTAACGCATAACTTTGGACCACGTGAACCGATTTCAATACTTCCTTTTTTATCGGAAAGATGTTACCTCAATGGTCTTCCCGTAGTTTGAAATTACGTGTTTCATATAAAGTTCTATAAACACAAGATGCGCTCAACTTGCAAAAGTAATAAAAAAAAATAAAATAAAAAAAGAAGAGTTTTAATGTTCATTTTCCTCAATATCGGGTTTCTGGTTTTCGAATGAGATGGTGATTTTTTACGACTGCCTAAGTTTTTTTTAATATTTCGAGTACCGAGAAGTGGGCAAATTAAATCTTCGAATCCTTGTTAAGGACATATCAGTTGTAAACTCTTTTAGGCTCTGTAAGTGAGTAAGCATTGCATATTTTTAGGTTTCATTCGCAGTTAAACTTTTAAGAGCTCTCAAAAAAAAAAAAACGAAAAATTCATATAAAATGGCGCACAAGAAATGGAATCGGAATTTTCTTCTATCAAAATTTCTAAAATCAATTTGCATCCCTCAGGAAAAAATGCTCGTATACTTATTAGAGCTCTCGATTTTGTTCGCACATTTTCAAACAGCCCGGGTATATGAGCAGCGAGTACACCTTTTTTCGAGTAATTTGAGCAAAGTTTTTTTATTATATTGACATTTTTGGTATCAACTTCTTAAATTTTTCAAATTATTGATATATAATGCAAAGATTGTTACATTGGTATTTAACATGAACTAGAAAGCAGCTGCTGACAAATACAATTTACAAATTTTCTTTTGTTTATGAAATTGTTCAAAAACTCGAAAATTTTAAACAAATATTTGAGCAGTTGAACAATGATCGAGTTTCGAGCGAGTGTCGAGCTATTCGCATTGCTCGATAACCGGGTATCTAGAGCTCTAATACTTATTTCTTCAAGAAAATTTTCAAGGGGTTTGAACCCCAAAAGTGACCCCTTGTGTGCGCTAATGATCTGAGTCAAATCGCTCTATGAGTCAGTATAAACAAGGTAGGAATCTGAGGCGTAAGTACATACATAAAAAGGTTAAGGTACTCACGGTATCCGGAAGAAGTTACCAGCCACATATGATGCATGTTTCCACTACAACGAAATCCGCCGCAGGACGGTGGCTTCTTCTCAGCCTTTACGTTTCCAACAAAGCACGTTCGGATCAATAACAGTGGCTGTTAGGAAAACCGAAAGCATTAGAGGAACGTGAAAACAAAAATTAAAATAAAACAAGAATAAAGAATACCAATACTAAGCCCTTGGTATTTCCGGCAGCGCCGTTGCTGTAAGTGATGCATCCAATGCGCTAGATGTATGCGGTCGTGGTTTTAGTGGTGCAGCTTGAGCAGCAGGGCCGTTGCTGATTTGACTAGGCGCCAAATCATCGCATGATTGCTTTTTCTTTGCGCTGGTGGTGTAACAGCAAATGAGGAATCACACTCATCAAACTTGAGTAAGTTTTTCTGTTCCTTTGTGCCCAATAAAGGATTTGTATGGAATAGGTAGAGAAAGTACTTTAAGAAGCATGAAAATGCTCCAAGTCCCGATAGCGCAGCCGCCAAATATTCTACATAGTACCATTTGGAGTATGAATATGGACACTGATTAGATATGTCGAAAAGCAGTATCGCTAGCAACACTACATTCAAAGAACCCCAACGCAGACAATCTTTGGCGCGTTTTGCACGCAGATGCAAATCCAGGCCGCGTTCCACCAATCTGTTCGGCGAGCCGCAATATTTTTGTAAACACTGCATTTCTTACGTGTAACTAATACGTAAATAATTAGTAATTTAAAACAGCAGGTATATAAATAACTAGTTTTGCCAAAGAACGACCAACTATACCGAAATTTTGCGCGTTTAATCTCATTTTTTGGAAGAGTGCAAACCTCGATCTGCTGTTTTTCTTTTGAGAAGGGGTAAAACGTACTTTTTAGCCTTTGTTCGTTTGGGACCTGAAAAAGAAAAATGAATGAAAAAATTCAACAATGATCAATTAAAAATTCACAAAATATAATAACCTACAACACTTACCGGTTGGCCTCGTGGAAAATTATGAATGACATTTCCTTTCATTCGAAGGGTGTTGCCAAGTTAGGTACAGAAGTTTACGATATTAGTGTAAAATTTCTCGCCCCTAGAGTATGTGGCAAAATGCATCTTTTTAACGGCGACATCTACTGCTCACTTGCTACAAGGTTAATCCGAGGAAAATATTTGCATGAAATACATGCAAATTGAATAAAACCTCATGCATTCCTTTTAATAAACGTAATTTTTAATATACCTTTTATTTGGTTTTAGTTTTTTTTTCTCTTTCTCTTTTTTTTGGGGTGGCAGGCCAAGGTGAGAAGAACCTCACCATAATCACCCAGTGAAACCAGTACTATAGTTACGATACATGTAACGCTTTCAAGCAAGTTTTCAACTTGCCCGAACTGCATTAGCTCTGTTCATTGTTGGTGCAAGTGCTTTCAAACCAAAAATTCAATACAAAAACTTGAATTGGTTTAACCATAACCGAACATTTGTTTGTGTATATATTCATTAGTCGGTGCTGTCAATTAAAATTTCCTCACTTAATTAGGAAACAAACCAAACTGAGTTGATCACAAATTGATCCAGATTTCTATCAGCATCGAATCGATGTTGAATTTGCTTAACTTTTCTTTATCCAAATATGTAATGCAAAATAAAAGAAATCTCGATCGGCGATCACTGAAACGCAGCTAGAAACTGTATACTCGAAAAAGCAATGTTGCCACTTTTTCTCTTTAAACCATGTTCGAATCGTGGAAATTTTGGAAGATCACAGGGTTGCTCTTAGCATTTAGATTCTTAATGCAAAAATGGAGTTGCATTTAGTTGCATTTAGGTGACGAATTTTGTATGGATAAATGTACATTTAGAGTAGCATTTAGAGCTAAATGCGCTAAATGTGCTTTTACGCGTAAGCAAAAACAGCCTATTAGCAAGGTCTGATAAATGCATACGAATGTTTAACGCCCATTCTTCGCTGTGTAAGCAGGCAAAGGTAGTAGCACAACTTTCGACTTTGACAACTATAATCAGTGTGCAAACCTACCACATATTTTTATGTATTTATTTCTTTTTCACATCTACCACACTGATGATAACTGCTTTCAAAGTCACCTTTCATATAAGCTGCACCTGCGCTATCCTTCACCTTTCGAAATGCGCGACCTTGACAGACTTTGCACATCTAACATGCACATAATACAAACCCTCACACAAACACATCCAATCAACATAGAACACAACCACGAGCACTACAGACGTATCATTGAACATACATAACTATGCTCAATCGCAGAAGCATGGCCTTATCACTATGAATTGTAGTTAATACGCTTTGTTTACAATATTAATAGTCCGTGTCGACAAAATAACCATTTTCAGGTAATAATGACTCGCTATACAATGCTAAGAAAGAAAGCGGAACGCCGCACTGATCGTTATCCGATAGCGTGCCGACTTTGCGATGGTAAGCACCCGATCAGATTATGCCCGGTATATCGGGCAAAGGCCCCGGAAGAACGATTGCGAGAGTCTCTGCTCGGGCGGTTTTGCAGCAATTGCCTATCAATGACGCATCGCGTACAAAGGTGCACCAGCCGGGATCGATGCCGTCGATGCCACGATAAGCACCATACCACATTGCACATCGACGAAGAGCCCATTGACCGAAGACCTTGGAGCCAGCAGGTCGCCAGCGAGGAGGAACGAGAAAACGTTCTGTCGATTTACGCCTCGGACTCCGGAACGAATTCCCAATCGCTGCGCCCTGACATCGAAGAAGGCGAAATAGTTGAACCTGTGGCGGAAGCAAGTACTAATCTCCCGAGTTCAACGAGGGGATCGGAAACCCGGACTTTCCGACCCCCATTGAAGCATGAGACACGGGTGGGTGGCCCAGAGACAAGGATTTTCCGATCCCGGCAACGGCAGCGCCGTGGAGCGGAAACTCGGTCTTTCCGCCCACGATCCACAAGAAAAGCGTCTTACCGTCAGGACGAACGGCAACGGCAGCACCGTGGAGCGGAAACTCGGTCTTTCCGCCCACGATCCACAAGAAGAGCGTCTTACCGTCAGGACGAACGGCAATAGCGCCGTGGAGCGGAAACTCGGTCTTTCCGCCCACGATCTACAAGAAGAGCGTCTTACCGTCTGGACGAACATCGACAGCACCGTGGAGCAGAAACTCGGACTTTCCGCCCTCGGCACATAAGCAACGCGATTTCCAGATGCAACGAGCAACGGGGTAGACTGGAGACTCGGCCTCGCCAGCTGCCCATCGCCTTTAGAACTGGCCAGGCAACACTTACCGCGCAGACCTTGAGACCATTTACGGCAATGTCTCCCACAGCTGTTGTCAAGGTAGAATCGGGAGGACGCCTACATCTTGTACGCGCTTTAATCGATGTGTGCGCGCCAACGTCCGTGATATCCGCCGATTTGGTGCGGGAATTAGGACTGGAGGAGATTGGTCTCGGGAACCACCAAAGCTGCATGATCCGGCTGCGAGGGAAGTATGGGCAAACTACGAGGGTGTCAGTACACGCAACAGTAGTGGCGAATTACGTGCGGATGAGCCCTACCGCCAGCGTCGACCGCTCGATAGCCGCAACCTATACCAACATTCGTTTGGCAGACCCCAACTTTTTCGCCTCAACTCCGATTCGCTTGGTGCTGGGAGCAGATGTTTACTCGGAGATCCTCCTGCCGGGCACCCTCCCTACCTCCTTCGGCCCTCTCGTGGCACAAAACAGCATTTTCGGCTGGCTACTGTCGGGGGCTTGCCGATCCTGAATCAAAATTTACTCACCTTTTTGAACGAAAAAAAAAAATATATATATATATATATATATATATATATAAACAATTTTATCATCGATTACGAATTACCGACTGCAATATACATTTTTTTCTTGAATTTTGAATAAAAATACATTTGTGCACTGAAATGTCAAGCCATGTCCTGTTTATTTAATTTCTTATCTCCCACAGACTGAAAAATCCGAAACGAGCATCAATGGTGATAACTACGTTTCCAGCTCTACGAAAATCAACATTTATTTTTTCAATTCCTTTAATTATTCGTAGGAGTGGTGGCTGACTTGATTTACTGCTGTTGCATATAGCAAGGAGGGCCGGCATGTTTAGGCCTAAAGGCTAAACCAAATACTTAAAAGGGTGAACCACC